GCAGCCCCAGTTCCAGCCCAGCCTGACTCAGCTGTGCCTGACAGTGAGCAGAGCCCACCTCAGAGGGAGGTGAGGGGCAAAAGGAGACAGTAGAGATGGTGTGGAAGACCTGTTTAGAGACACAGCCATGTACCCGGGGAGTGGGGCTGGATAAGCAGGGCCATGGCCATGCAGGGATGCCAAGAGGAGGAAATAAAGACCAGAGAGGATGATCCAAGCCCCAGATCCCCTCAGAAACTGCTCTCAAGAGGCAGGTGGTGGGCACAACCCCTCCTGGCCTTGCACTGGAGGCCACAAAGCACTGCTGCAGGCACCAGCAGCTGTCTCAGCCCTGAGCACATACTCACAGCCTGGCTGAAGGGCAGGGTCTGAGGCGGGCACAGTGTTGAGGGTAAGCGGTTGGTTACGTCCCAGGAGCTGCTGGAATTGAGACACTTTGGTCACATCTCACAAAGGCACTGGCTCACATCTAGGCATTTTACTACAGCAGGGCCATGGGGTTGGTGCTGTGCCACCATAGTATGGTAAGGGGTTGTAATGGAGCTCCTCCACAGGGGCAGGAGGTGTGTCCCTGAGGGCTTCCTTCTCCTCTTCAACCCAGCCCCAGGACACTGCCCACCCACTGCTCAGCAGCATCCTCCTCCCAGGGAGGGCAGCAGCAAGGGCAGCCCCTGCCCAGCCAGTCAGGTTTCTCTAGACAAGCACTGGTGTCAGGAATCAGTCAAGAACATTCCCTACCTGCTCATGGCAGAATTGGTCATACCCCAAACAAACGCAGACTCAGCCTGTTCCAACGCCTCTGTGGAAGGAAATAGATGTGGCTCAAAGCAAAGAAACCCCAGAAAGCATCAGCAGATCAGTGGCTAAATGGCTTTCAGCAGTGGGAGGGCAGGTCTGGATGGGATAATAGGAGGAAATCCCTCCCTGTGAGGTGCTGAGGCACTGGCACAGGTTGCCCAGAGCAGCTGTGGCTGCTTCATCCCTGGAAGTGTTCCAGGCCAGGCTGGATTGGCTTGGAGCCACCTGGGCTGCTGGAAGGTGTCCCCGCTCATGGCAGAGGTGGGACTGGATGGGCTTTACGGTCCTTCCAACTCAAACTATTCCACAATCAGGAATATCTCTGTCATATTCCTACATGTCGAAGAGAGAGGAAGAGTTGGTCTATGATGTCCGTGTCTGCTTCACTCATTTAACTGAGGAACATAGAAGTTATCATGTTTCCATTGGCATCACTGTTGTTTCCACTGGCATCACTGCACAGGAGGTACAAAAGCTTATATGGGAGGAAGAGATGCTTGGAAATCTCTCTGCATGGCAGTTCTCCAGAGATTTGGGATTGGTCTCTATCCAAGACTAGCCTGGTGGGTGTAGAGATTCATGACACCTGAGGTGTTGGGGGGAGCCCTACCAGGGAGACCTAAGGTGTTGGGGACATTGTCCCCAGAGGAGCTGAAGGACAGGGCCAGGGAGAATGCAGCAGTATGGCAGATGGGGAAGTTCCTCACCCTTGTCCCAGTCCTCATCGCAGGGAGGTGCCTGCCATGTGCTCCCATCATTCACCTGCTTCTGCTGGTGGTCACAGGCTTGATTTGCTTCGGGGAAAGAGAAAACACAGTGACTAGAGGCCTTAAATCCATTCAGTGCTTTGGCTCACACTGTAAAACATCTCTTGGCTTGGAAGCCCAATGCAACCAGGTTGGGTGCAGCCAGGGACTGAGCTGAAATCCAGCAACTTCCAGCCCTTTCCAATGAGCAAGTGAATGCTCTGCTCCCAGGAACGCTGA